GTTTTGCTGACAGCTGTCCTGCCCTTAAAAAACACACACCTGTTTTGGGTTTACTGGTTTCACCTCCGTGGTGTCCTCCCATGTACTCCATTCTTGTTTAATGTTTTCCTTATTGTAGATGTGTCAACAAAAATGTTAGCATGTGCCAGAGATTTCTGTAGGTCTTTAGCTGACACTCTGGGATTCTTCTTTACCTCATGCAGCATTCTGCGCTGTGCTCTTGCAGTCATTTTTACAGGACGACCACGCCTAGGGAGAGTAGCAACAGTGCTAAACTTTCTCCATTTGTAGACAGTCTGTCTTACCCGTGGACACATGAACATCAAGGCTTTTGGAGATACTTTTGTAACCCTTTCCAGCTTCATGCAAGTCAACAATTCTTGATGGTAGGTCTTCTGAGAGCTCTTTTCTGCGAGGCATGGTTCACATCAGACAGTGCTTCTTGAAACCAGTAAACCCAAAACAGGTGTGTGTTTTTTTAAGGGCAGGACAGCTGTCAGCAACACATCCAATATCATCACACTGATTGGAGTCAAGGTTGGCTCACTCCTGGGTCCAATTAGCTCTGGGAGAAGTCATTAAGCTAGGGCCTCACATACTTTTTCCTCCCTGCACTGTGAATGTTTACATGTTATGTGCAATTAAACCATGGCAACATCTAATGTTTGTGTAGTATTATGTTCATCAGACTGTGTTCTTCTATTGTTGTGACTTAGATGACGTTCAGAGCACATTTTATGCCCAAATTCATGCAAAACTCCACGTAATCCCAAGGGGTTCACATACTTTTTCTTGCAACTGTACAATGACCTCCAGCAGGCCACTGGTGTGAATGTCTCTGATCATACAATCAGAAACAGATTTCATGAGCGTGGCCTAAGGGTCCAATGTCCTCTAGTGGGCTCTGTGCTCACTGCCCGGCACCACAGAGCTGGATTGGCATTTGCCACTGAACACCAGAACTGGCAGGTCTGCCGATGGTGCCCTGTGCCTTTCATAGATGAGAGCAGGTTTCACCCTGAGCACATGTGACAGAAGTGAAAGGGTCTAGAGAAGCCGTGGAGAATGTTATGTTGCCTGTAACCTCATTCAACATGACTGTTTTGGTGGGGAGTCAGTGATGTTCTGGGGAGGCATATCTATGGAGGGATGCACAGACCCCTAGACTCCTACAGGCTAGACAATGGCACCCTGACTGCCATTAGGTATTGGAATAAAACCCTTGGACCCATTGTCAGACCCTACACTGGTGCAGTGGGGGTCCTGGGTTCCTCCTGGTGCATGACATTGCAATGACAATGCCACGCTTCATGTAGCGAGAGTATAGAGGCAGCTCCTGGAGGATGAAGGAATTGATACCATTGAATGGCGCCTGACCTAAATCCAACACCTCTGGGATGTCATGTTTCTGTCCATCCGACACTGCCAGGTTGCACCTCAGATTGTCTAGGAGCTCAGTGATGCCCTGGTTTAGATCTTGGAGGAAATCCCCCAGGACACCATCCGTCAGCTCATTAGGAGCATGTCCCGATGTTGTCATGCATGCATACAAGCACGTGGGGGCCATACAAACTACTGAGTACCAGTTGCTGCAATGAAATTTTAGTAAAATGGACTCGTCTGCTGCATCATTTATTCACTTTGATTTTCGGGGTGTCTTTGAATTCAGTCCTCTGTAGGTTGATCATTTTCATTTCCATCAAGCGATGGGCGTCCTTACATCCCTAGCACATTATCCAGTCCATATCAGTATAGATATCTAGCAGGAGAATTTTCCCCATTGAGATCTGATGGGTTTTCAGAGTGTTCTTTAAATTTTTTGACCAGTGTATATATATATATATATAATTCAAATGTCAGAACTCAACTGCTCCCAGAAGCTGAGCAAAACACTAACACTCCCAGTGTATAAAAGTTCATTTAAAATAGAAAGTCCAGCACCTCAGGAACACGTTAACTGTCAGAGGTGAGTACCCTCCTTTAATAAAGTCTGCAGATAAAACATGTCAGGAAGTGATGTCAGATACTGACCCTGGAACTGGAAGTGCCCATTCCGCCATTTTGAGTTTTGTATACCTGCATCTCTTTATTCTTGTAAGCAGTTTTATGGTAAATAAAGCATTTTAATGGGGATTTCTGCACTATGAGCTTCTTTTATGTCCTGTATATATCATTCATCCATTGGGAGTCTGTACAATAAAGGGACTGAAGACATCTAAGGCGAGTATCAGATGTGATGTCACCCAACCCTGTGCCATAGGGGTTGAGTTTGGTATGGAGTTTGGTGTTTTGTGCACATGGTGGTGGTGTATGGTGGCATGTATTGATGGATTCACAACCTTTGCACTATATGGAGCATGGTTTAGTGTGAGCACAATTTATTTAGTGTACATTATTTGTGGTGATAATACACTATTTTAGCTATTTTCTTTTCAAGTCACACTGAGATGAGGAGGATTCTGGGGGGGAGAATGTTGATTTGGAGTGAATTGATAAGCCTACATAGGGGGATGTTTGATAAGAAGATAGGCAGGAGGGGTCAGAAGTCACGTATCACTGGTGATTTTTACGCTTGATTGTCACATACACATGTACAGGGGGATGGGAGTCCTCTTTTTTGGTGGGACTTTAACGGCACAATTTACTTGTATGATAAATTTCAACAATTCAGAAGAGTTTTTTTTATAACACTATGAAGTGTTATTTTTACAATTTTCAAAAATAAATAAAATGCAATAGTATGAAATGTTATTTTTACAATCTTCAAAAATAAATAAATGCAATATGTATTGTAGCTTTTATATTTATTTTTGAAGATTGTAAAAATAAAATGGCATACTGTTTTTATCTCTTTTGAATTGTTGCAATTTATCATACAAGTAAATTGTGCCGTTAAAGTCCCACCAAAAAAGAGGACCCCCACACCCGTATTCGTTAGGGATGTTGGCACTTTGTGTATTATATATCTTCCTTTCTCTCTCCTCACATACAAATGTGAGCACAATATAGACTTTTTCATGGTAATTTAAAAATGACTGCACTATATGAGTTTTTTATTTTCGAGGGGATGTAGACATGATGAGATGAAGATTTTTGTGGAAGATGTGGAAACACTAAAGTAAAAGCACTATTGGAAGGAACAGAGGACTCAGAGATGGGGGTGTGGTGAAGCTTTATTAGACCCATTTTGATATATGTGGGTCAGGAAATCCAGTAAGAGACTGAGGAAGTGAGTTGCAGGAGATTACTACTCACCTTTGACAGTTCACGTATTCCTGATGAGATATATATGAAGTACAGTGCAAATGTTTTAGGCAGTTGTGAAAAAAATGCTGTAAATGAAGAATACTATCCGAAATAGAAGTGTTCATAGTTTATTTTATTGATTAAAATAAAAAGGAAAGTAAATGAACAGAAGAGGAATCCAAACAAGTAAATATTTGGTGTGACTACCTTTTGCCTTCAAAACAGCATCAATTCTTCTACGGACACAATTTTATAGGAACTTGGCAGGTAGGTTTTTTTCAAACATCATGGAGAACTAATCACAGATCTTCTGTGGATGTAAGCTGACTCAAATCCTTCTGTCTCTTCATGTAATCTCAGGCAGACTTGATATGTTGAGATCAGGGCTCTGTGGGGGCAAAACCATCACTTCCAGGACTCCTTGATCTTCTTTACACTGAAGATAGTTCTTAATGACATTGGCTGTATGTTTGGGGTCATTGTCCTGCTGCAGAATATATGTGGGGCCAATCACACGCCTCCCTAATGGTATGGAATGATGGATAAGTATCTGTCTGTATTCCTCAAGGTTGAGAACACCACTGATCCTGACCAAATATCCAACTCCATTTGCAAAAATTCAGCCCCACATTTGCAAGGAACCTCCACCATGCTTCACAGTTGCCTGCAGACACTCGTTATTGTACCATTCTCCAGCCTTTAAGCGAACAAACTTCCTCCTGCTACAGCCGAATATTTCACATTTTGACTCATCAGTCCAGAGCACCTGCTGCCATATTGCAGCATTTTTCCTATGTTTTTGTACATAGTTGGGTCGTTTAGCTTTGTTCCCATGTTGGAGGTATGGTTTTTGGCTGCAATTCTCCCATGAAGAATACTTCTGGCCAGACTTCCCCGGACAGTAGACGAGTGTACCTGGGTCCTACTGGTTTCCACCAATTCTGTGCTGATGACACTGCTGGACATCTTCTAACATTGAATGGAAGTAAGCATGATGTGTCTTTCATCTGCTGCAATACGTTACCTTGGCCGACCACTACGTCTACAGTCCCCAACATTGCCCGTTTCTTTCTGCTTCTTCAAATGAGCTTGATGAATTGAATTGATCCTGGCTTGAAGCCAAAGGGTAGTCACACCAAATATCGATTTGATTCATCTTTCTTTCCTGTTCGTTCACTTTGCATTTTGTAACTTGATAAAAAACAAAACAAATAAAATATGTATTTTTGAAAGCATTCCTACTTTATAGCATTTCTTCGCGCCTGCCTATAACCTATGCACGGTCCTGTATGTATTAAATAGTTACAGCTTTTCCACATCTGTGACTTTCAATGTAAAGTTAAAAACCATTCATAAATAAAACTGTATATGTAAGATAAGATATACCTGTCTTATTGGATATTTGCCCTTCTGAACATGGGGCACAGTCATAGCAGCAAGAGTGCATTGAAGATTTTGGCTTTTTTCTGTATCCGGGCAAACAAGCGTCCACACACCGAGATTCCAACTTCTAAAAGAAAGTGAAAGAAATGAAGTCTACTTGTGTTACATACCATTGGAGGTTCAATAAGAGTGTGTGGCCAAATGGTACTTTATTTCCTTATCCATTGGCTTCCATTGCACTTTAAAGTGCATACAATCCCCAAATCTATTTCTCAGTAGAGCCGCCATCTTGTCTCTCTGTGTACAGTCTGGAGATCCTGCCAGGAACAAGACTTCCTGTTTCAGGCTGACAACACTAAGCCAGTGCCTCACCCTGGAGGAGGACTCATGGTAGGCTGCTACAGGAGGTGCTGCTACTGGCACAGGGGCAGACTGACAACTCATGGGGCCCCGGGCAATAGGGGATCATGGGGCCCCTGTGGCCTTGCGCAAACTCAAAAAAGCCTATGAAAAAGGTACCAGGGGCATCTCATGGGGCCCCCTACTGACCCCGGGCCCTCGTTTCCAAATGGTCAGTCTGCCCCTGTACTGGCATGATCTCTGGGTAAAAAGCTTAAAAGTATGAACTCGGTGTAGTTATTCCCCCTGAAGTCATCACAGAGGACAAGGGGGCGCTCTTTACGTCTGGAGGAAAAGAAATGTAATCTCCAAACACGGAAAGGTTTCTTCACAGTGAGAGCTGTGAGAATGTGGAATAGACTCCCTCAAGAGTTGGTTGTGGCCAGCTCAGTGGATTGCTGTAGGAAAGTCCTGGATTCTTTCTTGGATACACAGAATATAACTGGATATAACATTTATAGGGAAAGTTGATCCAGGGAATATCCGATTGCCTCTCGGGGGATCAGGAAGGAATTTTCTGGAGGCCTGCAGGAGCAAATTGGATCATTCTTTGCTGGGTTTTCTGCCTTCCTCTGGATCAACTGTGGGTGGAGGATTAAAACTTATTTTTTTATGGATGAACTGGATGGGTTTTTGTCTTTTTTTCAGCCAGACTAACTATGTAACTATGTGACTATGTAACTATGATTCACAAAAGTGAAATGATTATGAAAGCTGTATACAGTGAGACATGATGACAAACATACTGAAAAAAAAATGATTTTGAGTTTACATGCACTTTAAATATCTCTCACCAATATAGTCAAAAGACTGGCCACCAGTCACTCACGTCCTGAGCTCTCTAGCAGTTGCATTGCTCAATCTGTCACCCGCTGTGAAAACAGATTATTGTACTTGGCCGGTACATGTCAAATGTACACAATAATTGGCTTTCATTTATAGGCATTCATTGTGTACTATTGTGATGATCTCTGTAATTGGTCACAGTGATGACATGGTACAGACAGGGTAAATTACAGTGCCCTGTACCATATGATAGCTGTGGACGATCACAGTTATCACAAATGACTGCTTATAGCAGAGATCATGACTGACATGACATGTAAAAAATTGCCTCCCTAGAGTAGTTATGTATCACTATGGTAACACTGCAATGTTTTGGTCACAGTATATAATGAAAAAATTGTACAAAGAAAAAAATAATTGTAAAAGAAGGAAAATAAAAAAAAATCTCTCTCTCTCTCTCTCTCTCTCTCTCTCTTTTCTCTCTCTTTCTCTCTCTCTCTTTCTTTCTCTCTGTCTCTCTTTTTTCTTTCTTTCTCTCTCTCTCTCTCTCTCTCTCTCTCTCTCTCTCTTTCTTTCTCTCTCTTTCTTTCTCTCTCTCTCTTTCTTTCTCTCTCTCTCTCTCTTTCTCTCTTCTCTTCTCTCTCTCTCTCTTTCTTTCTCTCTCTCTTTCTTTCTCTCTCTCTCTTTCTTTCTTTCTTTCTTTCTTTCTCTCTTTATTTTTTTACATACTGCCACCAATCAGTATGCTTGATCACTGCCACATCAGTCATATGATAACGCTGTACTGCTCTGGTGACAGTATGTTATTAAAAAAATTTGAATTTTTCTTCATTTTCCCAAAAATTGTGACAAAAAAAGACAACTACAAAAAACTCACCATGCCTCTTATTAAATAGCTTTGTATGTCTGCTTTCCAAAAAAAGGCTAGTTTGTGGGATATTTGTACTGTCCTGGCATTTTTTCAAGAAATACAGTACATCAAGATTGATCAATTTTCAGATACGTTGCATCCAGAAAGTATTCCCAGCGCTTATCTTTTGCCACATTTTGTTACAGCCTTTTTCCAAAATGGATCAAGTTAATTTTTTTCGTTAACATTCTACAGACAATACTCCAAAATGACAACGTGAAAGAAGTTCATTTTGAAATCTTTGCAATTTATTAAATATACAAAAAAAAAAAATCACATGTACATAAGTATTCACAGCCTTTACCATAACACTCAAAATTGAGCTCTGGTGCATCCTGTTTCCACTGATCATCCTTGAAATATTTCCACAACTTGATTGGAGTCCACCTGTGGGACATTCAGTGGATTGGAGTCCACCTGTGGGAAGTTCAGTGGATTGGAGTCCACCTGTGGGAAGTTCAGTTGATTTGTAGTCAACCTGTGGGACGTTCAGTTGATTGGAGTCCACCTGTGGGAAGTTCAGAAGTTCAGATGATTGGAGTCCACCTGTGGGAAGTTCAGTTGATTGGACATGATTAGGAAAGGCATAAACCTGTCTATAGAAGGTCCCACAGGTCACAGTGCATGTCAGAGCACAAACCAAGCCATGAAGTCCAAGGAATTGTCCGGAGACCTCTGAGACAGGATTGTATGAAGGCACAGATCTGGGGAAGGGTACAGAAACATTTCTGCAGCATTGAAGGTCCCAGTGAGCACAGTAGCCTCCATCATCCATAAATGGAAGAAATTTGGAGCCACCAGCAATCTTCCTAGAGCGGACCGCCCAGCCAAAATGAGCGATCGAGGGAGAAGGGCCTTAGCCAAGCAGGTAACCAAGCACCTGATGGTCACTCTGAAAGAGCTCCAGCATTTCTCTGTGGAGAGAGGAGAACCTTCCAGAAGAACAACCATCTCTGCAGCACTCCACCAATCAGGTTTGTATGGTAGAGTGGCCAGACGGAAGCCACTCTTCAGTAAAAGGGCAAATGGCAGCCCGCCTGGAGTTTGCCAAAAGGCACCTGAGGGACTCTCAGACCATGAGAAACAAAACTCCCTGGTCTGATGAAACAAAGATTGAACTTTTTGCCTTGAATGCCAAGCGTCATGTCTGGAGGAAACCAGGCACCTCTCACCACCTGGCCAATACCATCCCTACAGTGAAGCATGGTGGTGGCAGCATTGTGCCGTGGGTATGTTTTTCAGCGGCAGGAACTGGGAGACTAGTCAGGATGGAAGGAAAGATGAATGCAGCAATGTACAGAGACATCCTTGATGAAAACCTGTTCCAGAGAGCTCTGGACCTTAGACTGGGGCAATGGTTCATCTTTCAACAGGACAATGACCCTAAGCACATAGCCCACATAACAAAGGAGTGGCCACGGGCCAACTCTGTGAATATCCTGGAGTGGCATAGCCAGAGCCCAGACTTGAACCAGATGAACATCTCTGGAGAGATCTGAAAATGGTTGTGCACCGACGCTCCCCATCCAACCTGATGGAGCTGGAGAGGTCCTGCAAAGAAGAATGGGAGAAATTGTCCAAAAATAGGTGTGCTGAGCTTGTAGCATCATACTCCAAACGACTTGAGGCTAGAATTAAAGGCCTTCAACAAATTATTGAGCAACGGCTGGGAATACTTATGTACATGGGGGGGGGGGGGCTGGGAATACTTATGAACATGGGGGGGGGCTGAGAATACTTATGAACATGGGGGGGTCGGCTGTGAATACTTATGTACATGGGGGGGCTGGGAATACTTATGTACATGGGGGGGGGGGGGCTGTGAATACTTATGTACATGGGTTTTTTTTTTTTCATTTTTTTATTTTTAGATTTTTTTTTTTTAGATTTTATTTTTAGATTTGCAAAGATTTCAAAACTAACTTCTTTCACGTTGTCATTATGGGGTATTGTTTGTAGAATGTTGAGGAAAAAAATAATTGAATCCATTTTGGAATAAGGCCGTAACATAACAAAATGTGGCAAAAGTTAAGCTCTGTGAATACTTTCTGGATGCTCGGTATATACTGTATACCTTAGATTGTAGACTCTATAACTTTCACACAAACTAAACAATATATACTGATTTGTGTTATTTTTACCAAAAAAATGTGGCAGAATACATTTTCATAAATTTCTGAAAAAAAAAATTATTTATTTGCAAAATATTATAACAGAAATAAAGAAAAATGTGTTATTTTTTCAAAACTTTGGTATTTTTTCATTTACACCCCCCCCATGAAAAATATGTCTCAAAAAATAATAGTAATTGAATTTGGGTACAGTGTTGCATGTCTGAGTAATTGTCAGACAAAAAAATATTTCAATAAAAAAAAAAAATGAATGGTGTCAGCCTTGCCTTAGCAGGTATAACAAAATGCTTCCAATGGTATTTTTACAGAGAAAACACTCTTAGGTTGGATACACTTTTAATCATTTCATCCATCCTGGAGGACAGAAGTCATTGTTCATAGAGAACCCCATAGTTCAGGACAGGGGCGGACTGACAACACATGCGGCCCCCGGGCAATAGGGGATCATGGGGCCCCTGTGTCCTTGCCCAAACTCAAAAAAGCCTATGAAAAAGGTACCAGGGACATCTCATGGGGCCCCCTACTGACCCCGGGCCCCTCAGGCAGTGCCCGAGTTTCCAAATGGTCAGTCCGCCCCTGGTCCAGGAGTATAAGTAAGAAATAATCTCTAAAAAATATTTTATTTTCTTGTTTAATTTCTGTGGTATTTATACTGATATGTGAAGGGCAGATAAGGCTAATATCATATTTAGAAAAATAAACTTCACGGGTAGCACTACGGAACTGCTTGACTGTAATTGTTATGCATTTGTGGTGGAAACTGTACAATGGGTGGCCAATGTCATGAAAAGTGATTGTCTCATTATTATTATTTATTATTATATTATACAGTATTTATAAAGAGCCAATAGTTCGCTCAGCGCTGTACATTACAATCACATGTGCTCCTCCTCACCGTATTATTGGCTGCGCTCCATGTTATGTTGTTGGGGTCAATGTGAAATTGGTCCTCCTCTTTAGCCCATGGTGTGTAGAAACCAACATCCGTAGACCTTAATCTAAGATGGCGGACAGACTTCATCCAATTTACTATCTTGTAGTGGAAAGGAAATTCACCATTTTCATCAAATAAGGTCATTCTGTCTGCCGTCTTAAATGGATTTTTTAGTTGTTTCACATATTTATACAACTGGAGGAAAGAAAAACCTCAAACAAGTTAACATGGACGTTTATACTCTTTATACATGATGACACTTTATTAGTTGAATTACCGCCCAAACCAAGACTGGTATTTCTTCAATTACCCAGTTATATCCCTCCTCCCCCCAATCCTATCCTCCCCCACCAAAACCCCCCTAACAACCCAACTCCCCACCAAGGTTCATCATACCTATATATGAATACATCTGATGATATTGCTAAACAAGATCTACACCTCCACCTACCATTGGGTGGAACAACAAAAATGTTTAACTATATATCGTCTAAAGTAATACTGTATGAATGAACCATATCGCACTTCCCTGTTTTTTCTCTGAAACATTTAATAAAAAAACATATTTTATACAGTATGTTGCTTTTACCTTGTTTCTGTATCCTCCTTTAGATACATGTTATTTATTTTTTGTAACTAAAATCTTTCTGTTTATATTACATACATTATTTTGGACTCATTGATGTCATCGCTGGGTCTCTGTGCATCCCTATGCAATGCAGACAATTCATGGCTAGTGGGAGGGACTGGCAGGGTGTTGTACATAGCTTCCTGAGAACATCACCACACCCTGCCTCAGGTCAGAGCCCTCAGCCCTAGTGCAAGAAGTAACCTGGATCTTGGGAGGAGAAGTGAAAATATCAGAATACCCTGTTGAATGGATGGCAACTTACCAATTCCTAGATGTGATGGCTGTATTCGTTTTTTTTTTTTTAGGCTTTCTTCTATTTTCATCTGGTGATGTGGCCAGTAAGTCTGTTGTTTTTCAAAAGAACGAGCTCTGTTGCAGATGTCTGAATTACAGTGATGGGACAAACCATTTTACACTGGCAGTGGTGCTTACATTGATCAGCTTTTATTTTTGTTACATAGTTACATAGTTAGTCTGGCTGAAAAAAGACAAAAGTCCATCCAGTTCAACCATTTAAAAAAAAAATAAAAGTTATAATCCTACACCCACAGTGGATCCCGAGGAATTAAAAAAAAAACAGAAAAGCACGATCCAATTTGCTCCTGCAGGGAAAAAAATTCCTTCCTGATCCCCCGAGAGGCAATCGGATATTCCCTGGATCAACTTTCCCTATAAATATTAGTATCCAGTTATATTTTGTGCAGGGGCGGACTGACCATTCGAGCACTCAGGCCCTGCCCGAGGGCCCGGGGTCAGTAGGGGGCCCCTGGTACCTTTTTTATAGGCTTTTTTGGGTGTGCTTTGAGTGTGGGCAAGGACACAGGGGCCCCATGATCCCCTATTGCCCGGGGGCCCCATGAGTTGTCAGTCCACCCCGATTTTGTGTATCCAAGAAAGAATCCAGGACTTTTCCTTGTTCAAACTTTTTATTGGGGTTTCAAGTAATATGACATACATACAATAAACAAGGCGCGTTCACAACAGGAAAAACAAAATAGCTTGAGGCCTGGTGGGCAACTTTAAAGGTCTAACATATGCAAACAGAATGGAAACCACAATGAGTGGGAGTGGATAATGCAGTGAAATAGGGAGCATTATTACATGCTCTGTGGTGCTCCTAGGACTTGAGGGCAGATTCCTCGGAAGGCAAAAAGAGAGGATTGGAATGGACTGAACGGCTAGAGTAAGAGAAGACGAGCAAGGAAAGGGGATAGAACATGTGACTTCCAGAATAATGGGGGGGGCTCGGGACTGGACTACCAATAGGTGAAGTAGGGGATTATTAGGGGAGGAGCAATGATTCAGCAAAGTTCGGAGGAAGGAAGTGTTCCACCCAGGGGGTCCAAACTGGCAAGAATTTAGGGACAGTGTCTGTAAAGGTTGCTTCCACTTTAGCATGTCACCTTGTTCCAAACTGCCGGAACGCACAGGGAAGGATATTTCCAAGATTTAGCTACAATTTTGTCTGGCAATGGCTGGGGTAGGCGACAGTGATTGTGCAAAAAAGAGCAGACAGCATGCAGAAGATTTCAACCCAAAAAACTTAAATGGCCAGGCAGGACAACAAATATGGAGATATGTTCCTACCATCGCACAGCCATGAAAACAGTCTGGAGAGTAACCCAGGTATATTTAGCAATCCTTGTCGAGAGTAGGTACCATCGAGTCAGAACCTTGTAGTTGGTCTCAATGGCTACCATGTTCTGTGAGGAGGATTTGGTTGCCGACCAAATGAGGTCCCAATCGTCAGAGCTCAGCTGGTATCCCAGATCCTTTTCCCACTTAGCGACATATGAAGAGCCGGGATAATTCAGTAATAGAGTGTAGAGAGCAGAAATGAGGCCCTGCCTGTGTGGGTCTTTCCTGCATGCATTTTTGAAGAAGGTCATGGAGCTGACGGAGCGCGAATTAGTAGATAAAGGAGTATAGAAGTGCTTCAGTTGGAGGTATAAAGATTTCCGACGCTGGTAAAGAATGCTATTCACGAAGGAAGGGGAAGGACTTGATACTAGTGCTAGTCAGAAAGTGATGGGCTCAAATAAGGTTTGCTGAGGACCAATGTACGAAAGAACGTTGAGAAGACCAGGCTGGAAGGAAGGCCAGGTTCCGAAGGTTTGAGAGAAGAGGGTTGTGCGGCAATTGGATGGGATAGCGGGATTTGATTCTGTCCCAAAGGGAAATATAGTGGGATGTTACCGGATTCTGGAGTGCCCAACAGTCAGGTGGTCAAAGCCATGGTAGGTTGGCTACTGAGAGAGGATCACACTAAACTGATTTGAGAACAACCTACTGTGGAATCTCATGTCTCGCATGATATTTCGGAAGTTGCGCAAGATGCACGGCTTGATAATATTTGGCAAAGTCTAGGAGGCCTAGACCACCCATTAATTTGGTCTTGTGAATGGTAAAACAAGGTACTTGAGGGTGAATAGGACCCCAGATATATGCGTAGGTACTCCATTGTAGAATGCAAAGAAAGTGTGCTGGGACAGGGATGGGAAGGACTCTAAATAGGTATAGTATCTTAGGCAAGATGGACATTTTAACCACTGTGATTCTTTCCATCCATGCCAGCGGCAATGAAGACCATTTATGCAAAAGGCCAGTAAGATGGGTGAGCATTGGTAAATAGTTGGTGGAATATAAGCCCGATAGGTCAGCTGTCAGTTTAATGCCTAGATAGGGGATAGACTGGTGGGACCACAAAAATGGCGGAACCTGTTGTAAATGCAAGATCTGCTGAGGGGAGAGGAAGATATTCAGTACCGTCGACTTTTGGGGGTTAACTTGAAGGCCGGAGATGTGAACAAAGTCTTGTAAAAGCCGGAGTAAGGTGGGGGCGGAGGTCAGTGGAGAAGTCAAAAAAAGGAGTATATCGTCCACGAAAAGACAAAGTTTGTGGTGAGACCCACCGATCTCAAGTCCACGTATATCAGGATCCGCTCTGATCAAAACGGCTAGAGGTTCAATAGCTAGGGTGAAGAGTAATGGTGAAAGCGGACATCCTTGGCAGGTGCCTTGAGATATTGTGAAAAGGGCCGATTTGTGACCCAGATAACGAAACACTAGCTGAGGGGTTATAGAGAAGAGATCCAGGTTAAGAAGTGAGTTCCAAAACCCCAATATTGCAGAATATAATTGAGGTAAGACCATGAGACAAGTCTTACCTCAAGCAGTATTTTTACTCAGTGTCCTCCACCCCTCTCTGCCAATCCGTCCACTGGCTTCCCATTGCCCAACAAATAAAATTCAAAAAGTTAACAATAACATATAAAGCCATTTACAACTCTGCCCCAAATTACATAACCAATCTTGTCTCCAAACATCACCCAAACCATCCTGTCTGCTCCTCCCATGACCTACTGCTCTCCAGCTCCCTTATCTCCTCCTAATGCTTTTCTACAGGACTTTTCAAGAGCCTCACCCATCCTTTGGAACTCTCTACCCCCAATATATCCATCTATCACCTACTCTTCCCACTTTTGGGCGATCTCTGAAAACCTATCTCTTCAGGGAAGCCTATCCTGCCTTCAGCTAGAAACAGAATCTTCTACTTCTCCTATCAGTTCATCATCCACAGTTATTACCTGTTGTACCCCCAGCCCCTCCCTCTTAGATTGTAAGCTCCCAGGGCCCTCCTAACCCTCTTGTATTTAACTGTACTGTTGCTGTATTGTCTCCCGTTATATTGTAAAGCGCTGAGCAAACTGTTGGCGCCATAAATCCTGTATAATAATGTTAATGAAATGTGTGGTCAATGTATTCTTAAAAAAACCTTCTTATGTTTATATATAAAAATTCAATGAAATAATTGAGAAATTGTAGCACTACACCGTTTTACCTGACTAAATCTGTAAATATTAAAACTGTGATTAAACTTGTTCAAAAACTGTATAGCTTCAGCCATAGCTTCTAATGCAGTATACATTCGTACATGTTCCCTGTGAAGCATCCTTCTGTCAATTTTTGTAGGAAAGAAAATTAAGAAACTACGTATAAAACTAGTAATATTTTGGAAATAAATATTGTTTCCATTTTG